CTCTCTCTCTCTCTCTCTCTCTCTCTCTCTCTCTCTCTCTCTCTCTCGGCTCAACAGCCCTGGAGAAGGACGAGTATCCCCATCCTCCAGCAAGTCCCACATACATATTGGCAGTGACTAGTACCCCCACCCTGAATACAGGAGGGCAGTCAAAGGAGCTGGGCAGTGATGGGGGGGTAATACCCCCCCAGATTGGGGAGGAAAGTTTTCAGTCTAGCCTCTAGCAAGGATGAGGCCAGAGACTTCAGGCAGGAATTAGGGGGATTCTGTTTGTCTCACTCCTCCCCAAGGCAGTGATGACCCACACACACTGGAGCCACCCCTCCTCAAAGAACCAGACTGTGGTCAGCCCCCAGTTCTCCTGGGGGGAGGAGGCAGCAGATCAGGCAGATGGGAGGGAGGAAGACCCCCTGGGAATGTCAGTTTTGTGCCCCACATGAAAACTGGGGAGCAGGAATGTAGGGAGAGACCCCAAGTGGCAGAATTATTGGTCCATCATAACACACTGAACTCCAAGACACTTACACACCAGCTGGGGGAGGGAGAGGAGGGCACAAGAGGTGTGGAAAATGGGGTAAGGGAGGCAAACTAGACTAGAGGGGTTGGGAGGAGGCAGCCTTGGGGTCCAGAGCAGCCTGGTTCCCCAAAAGCCCAGGCTCCCCACCACCTGCAGATAATGTCGTGCAAATAAAAGTGTGATAAGAGGACCAATGGAGACTAACTCTTCCGAAAAGAAAGAAAAAACACAGAAGAGTGAAGAGTGATGGAACAAAAAGAAAAAAAAAAAAGCATATGCAAATGATATGCTAATCAACATGTTGGAAGCTCCCAGAAAACCATGGGATTCTTAGGACCAAGTGCGACCAGTCTCAGAGCCTCCCAAGGGATACAAAGATACAACCTAGGGAAGCCTAGACAGGTGGGGTGTTTGTTTCTGTGGGGTTTGCTTTTTGTTTGTGAGGGTCTGGAATTGTACAGGGAAAATAGGAGAAGGATCGGTTAAATCCAAGGGAAGGAGGAGGGGGGCTATTGCATAGCAGATGCAAATGAAGGGACCTGGGGCTGATCAGGAAAGAGGAAAAGGGACAGAGGGTGAGAGAGAGAGGTGATGGGAACCTAAGGAAGGGGTGTTAAGGACAACCGGAAAAAATCTTCTAGTAATAAAACTACAAACAGACCAAATATATATAATATTATATATGTATAAATAACAGCTGGCTATTTACAGGGGGCACACACACGGACACACACACACGGATCCAAGGGGGGGGGGCTGAAAGATATGGCTGACAGGTGGAGGAACGGCTGGGGATGGGGGAGAGGCCCTTCTTAGGCAGGGCAGACTCCTCAGGGATTTAAGTGCTGAAGTAAACTGTGGAGAGAGGGCAAGAGGAGAACGAGGGAGAAGGGAAAAAGAGAAAGAAAGCAGTGTGTCAGGCCTGGCCTGTTCCAAGCCTCCCCACTCCCCCACTGGCTGACATCCCTTCCCTCTCAGCCTCAGTTTCTTCAAAGGGACTTGACGAGTCCACGACTGGACTAAGGGGCATACCACCTTTAATGCACCGGGTATGTGACGATAGCCTTCAAGCAGCGGAGTATAAGTGGTTTCCTGGTGGGTGGTGTTCAAGACCCTCAGCCCTTCCTGTCCCCTACTCCAGCTTTAGAATCCCCAGATTGAGCTTCTAGGCTCAAAGGTTCCTAGAAGATCACCAGGGACCCGCCCAGTATTCCTATTCACAAAATCTTAACCAGGGAAAGTAAGGCTAGACCACCCTCAAGTTTTGGGCTGTACATGAGTCAGAACTGCCAATAGCAGCAAACTGTGTTCTGTTTGAAGAGTAAAAACTAGGTTAATGACCTTCAAAGCCCCGGCTCCACAGGGAGACCCTGCGCCTCTCCAGGGAAGGGCCCCGGCCCCCGCCCCACTCACCGATGATGATGATGAGGATGATGGCGCAGATCACTCCCAAGATGATCATCATCTAGGAGAGGGAGGGAGGTGAGTGAGACGGACACCCCACTCACCCCCGGGGCCCCCCACTGTCCCCATCTCCCCCCCCCTTTACCTTGAGGTTTTTCCACCAGTATTTGCGCTTGAGCTTGGCTGCACTCGTTTCAAACTGGGAGGCCCCTGCCTGGAGGGCATCTGCACGATCATCCAGCTCCGACAGCTTCTGGTCCCGCTCCAGGACCTTGTCCACATTCACCCTCATGATGTCCACCACCTGGGGGAGGGGTCCAGGGGGGTGTGCCGAGGCACGCCTCAAGGAGGGCACTTCTTGAACATGTCCCCATTGTGGCACACATGGAACATGCACCCCGATGTTTCCAGGCTAATATGCCAAGGACATACACAGAACATGCCTAGCACACCTGGGGACATGCAAGGAGCACACATCAGGGGCCTGCTGCTGCCATAGGGCTCAGATGTCTCAGCAACACCCTCTATCTATAGGGCCTGGATCAGCCTATCACCAGAGCACACCTGCCCCAGCTGGCACATCCCAGGCTAGCACAACTGATTCACCCTGCAGCCCTTCCAAGTGCATGCTGACAGGAAGACAGAGAGGGGATATGGCAGGTCCCGGACCCAAACCCACAAGCATAAACTGTCATTACCTTCAACCCAAGATGGGCTCCCACACCTATTTGCCAGCCCCAGTATCTTGCATCGTTGACACACACACACACTCACCTCATCCACCTGGGCCTGGGTCTGCTGCAGTCTCCTGTTACTGGTAAGATTTGGAGGAGGTGCAGGGGGGCCACCCTCGCCGGCCGGGGCGGCAGGCGGGACGGTGGCAGCGGTAGCCGACCTAAGGAAGAGAAACGGATTAAGACTCGGGGCCTGAAGCCTCTGGCCCTACGGCCGGGGCTCCACCCATCCACCTGTCCATCCACAGTCCCTACAGTCCTCTCTTATGCGAGAAGGCCACTCGATGGGAGACTTAGTCACTGTAAGGCCCCAAAGCGGTTGAGCTGCGTGACCTTGAGAGACCCTCCTCATGCCTCAATTTCCCCTGCTGTTAAATGAGGGCGATCTCGTAGATGCTGCCCGGGGTCGACCCGAAATGACTGACGGCCATGGTGACAGGGGCGGGGCGGAGGGTGGACGCTGGGTCCGCTCCCTCCCGCGGCCATCGCCCGTGCCAGACCGCATGGGACCCGGTTCCGGGCATCCGCGCACAGTCATGGGCACCAGCCTGGCCCGAGGCACGAGAAGCGCGGGCGGGACCCCCGTGTTTCCCGGGCCACTCCTTGGGGTGGCGGCCCATAAGGGGCAGAACATCGCGGGTGGCGAGTGGCGGGTGGCTGACTTACATGGCGGGGGTAGCGGGCAGAGGACTTGGCAGAGGCAGTGACGGCGGCGGCGGCGGCTCGCGCTGGCTCCGACTGGCTCTGGCTACCCGGGACTGGAAGATGGCGGCCGCACGTCACCCGCATCCGGGCACTGCGGCGTGGGCGGGGCGCGGCAGGCGACACGTCGCTAGCGGACCGCGGGGGCGGGGCGCTGCAGGGCCGGGGGTCGTCTAGTTGGGTCTGTCGGCCTTAGGCTGTGGGCGCAGCTCGCCAACCCACCGCCGCCCCCAAAGCATCTGATGCCTGCCTCTTTTGGAACCCACAACTGAGCTCCATACATCCCTCTCCTCCCAAATTGCATCCTCCCTCATCTTTGAAAAGGATACACGGGTCCTTATGCCATATACATCCTACAACCTGGTCCCATCACCTGGTGTATAGGTTGAGGATGGAAAACAAGAAGTGAACAAGGCAGGTGCCAGAGTAGTACTGATAATTGGAATCCTGACGCTGGAGTAGGGGGGAATTGAGAGAACTAACCTCACCCATCACCCTGAAATTGAATGTCTCAAGGGAAATCTGAGGCTTCTGATTTCCTTGCAGGGTATGGGCAAAAGGAGTAACAGAAGAGCACACACACACACACACACACACACACACACACACACACACACATACTGCTGTGAAAACTGCCCCTCCTTACAGATGAAGTTCTGACCAAGTGTGCTTAGCAGTCAAAGCTGGAGCAGGCCCCACAAAGATTAGACAAATTAAAGACTCCAGGAAGGGCCAAAAACTGGTGGTGCCGCAGGCTGGATCCCCACTGGGGTCAACTGCCCCATCTCAGCTTTGCTTCTAGTATAGAGCCTGGGCTGAAAAGAGCCAGCAGACAAGGGTGGTGGCACCTGCAGTGCTTAGGTTATAGGCACAACTTTACATGTGGTTTTGTCCCCCACCCATGACCTTGACAGAACCAACTACCTCTCCCTGGACTCTAAATACTAAGTGCATCACATAAGAAGACATTCAATATTTGTCAAATGGCTTGATCTAGATAACACAATAGGATATTATCTTAGACCTGGTCTGTTCCTGACTGCTCCATTTTAAGTACACTAAACAGCCACAGCAGCTGTACACACTCCCATCCTGCATCTTGGGAGAGGAAGAACCAGAGAGCAGCTGTCTATTTAGCAAGCCTCCAGGGTGAAGGAGGCATTTTAGGGGAGGGCTAGTGGCTCTGAGGTGGGAATGCTCTTTACATCCCTGAGAGAGCCTTCTTCTCAGAGACAGGCAGGGTCTGGCTTTCCTCCCCCAACTCCGGGCTTCCCAGGGCCTCCTGTGCTGCAGTGCCCAACCCCCTCCCAGCAGAAGCCCCAGGACAAGTTCTGTCATCTGAGGTGTTAGTTCCCAGCTGTCTGGGGGAGGTGAAAGAGCAGAGGAGTACGGGCTGGATGCAGAATTTGCTCTGGGCTGCCTCCTGCTTCCAGGAGCAGCCATTAGCCTGGTCTTTGTAAAGCTTGGCTCCTCAGAAGAGTATCTTTGGTGGCGGTGGAGGGGGCAGTTCAGATCAGCTGTGAAGCTCTTGCTCTCCATCCCTGAGATCACTCTACTTTCCAGTCAAAGAACAAAGATGCTGAATTCCATTATTTCATGTTCAAACGCCTTAGTGTCTGGATAGGAAACGTCACTGAGAGTGGGGAAAGAGAAACAGTGAGCAGACCCCTGCCCCAGCCCAACGCCCCACCCACCCTTGCAGGTAAGATTACAGACCCTGGTTTAGGGATGCTACCCATGTTGTCTAGCTAAACATAGAGGATATGGGAGAGACAGAGTCTCAGACAAATCTGGAGAGGCTAGACCTTGGCACATTGCTGGGAAAGTTGTCTTTCCCGGTAGATTCTGGGAACAGAAACGGCAGAGTAAAAATGAAGGCGCGTGTGAAGGGTGGGAAGGACCCAGTAGGATTCATCTTAGAGGACTGTCACTGCACAGCACAGCACAGCCCACCTCGCGGCGGTGTTAAGAAAGTCTAAGTTTAGATCAGTGCTGGAGGAGGGAGGAGGCTGCAGTGGAGTGACCGAGTTCACCTGGAAATGTGTAAGAGAATGTTTTATGCAAACAGGTAGAACAGAGACTCAGAATAGACTTGTGCTGAAGAAAATACAGTGTTTGCACGACTGTGATGCTTTCCTCAGTTGCAGGGAATTGGTGGTTGACTCTCTAGGCCCAAATCCTGATGCTCTTTTTAGGCTTAGTGGTGCCTGTTCCTAATCTCTGCGCTTGGAAGATGAAGGCAGGAGAATCCGGAATTTAAGACCAGTCTGCTTAACGAGACACTGTCTCAAAACAAGCCAAAGGCTGGAGCACAGAGGCTAATGGGTCAGCAGTTAAGAATATTACTGCTCTTCTTGAAAACCCTGGTCCATTTTTCAGCACCCACACAGCAGCTTGAAGCCATCTGTAGCACCAGTCCTGGGGGATCTCACCCACTCAGGGCCCTCAGAACTCCAAGGGTACTGGATTCCACTGTGCACAAAAATCCCATACACATAAGAATAGATAATTAGGCCGGGCGGTGGTGGCGCACGCCTTTAATCCCAGCACTTGGGAGGCAGAGGCAGGCGAATTTCTGAGTTCGAGGCCAGCCTGGTCTACAGAGTGAGCTCCAGGACAGCCCGGGCTATACAGAGAACCCCTGTCTCAAAAAAACACCCTCTATAAAAAAAAAAAAAAAAAAAAAAAAAAAAAAAAAAGAAAGAATAGATAATTAACAACAAAAGAGAGTTAACAATCAAAACCCCACAAAGAACACAAAAATATGCAGGAGGGAGGGCCCAAGGCTTCTTTAGGGTTCTGGTAGGCATAAAGAGACCACACTTTAAGGAAAGCTTACTTGCACTGCTTTTCCCCCTCCACAGGATTCCTGGTTTAGAAGTTGGGGTGGAAGGGGGGCTGGATCATTCCCACACTGACTCATGAACTCATTCCATCCTTATGAGTCAAACCCTGCAAGAGCAGTCATTAATTTCTGGGACCTCGTTTGTCCCTCAACACACAGCTGTCATCAACTTTTAGTTTGCTTCCAATGTCCTGCTGCTGTGTGCTGTGCCCTGGTGATGCTGAGAGCTCGGGACAGATTGATGTATTTGGGGTAAGCTTAAAGCAGTGATTTGATGGGGTCTTTTTTGATTTTCGTTTGTTTCACCTGTTAACTTTTTTTGGGTTTTGTTGGTTTACACATTTAGAAAGGTTTGGTTTTTGCTTGTTTGCAGTGTTGAGGATAAAAGTCAGGCCCTGTGCATTTTGAGCAAAGCTCTCTACTATAGAGTGTCCCTTCCCAGCCCCAACGGTATTTCTTTGCCAATTCCTTCTTATAGTAAAGGGTAACATATGCACAGAAAAGTCACATCTTGGGGCTGGAGCGGTGGTGCCTGCTGGTCTTCCAGAGGACTTCGGTTCCCAGCCAGCACATCAGTTACGCCACTACCACCTGTAACTCCAGCTCCAGGAGATCTGAAGCCCTCTTCTAGCACATGCATATACAGATAAATAAATAATAAAAGTCATATCTTGTTTGTTTCAAAAATTGCATTTATGTCCGGGCGGTGGTGGCACACACTTTTAATCCCAGCACTTGGGAGGCAGAGGCAGGTGGATTTCTGAGTTCTAGGCCAGCCTGGTCTACAGAGTGAGTTCCAGGACAGCCAGGGCTATACAGAGAAACCCTGTCTCGAAAAACAAAAACAAAACAAAACAAAAAAGGAGAACAATTGCATTTATTACTAAGCAGTCGTGGCACACACCCTTAATCCCAGCCTTAGGAGGCAGAGGCAGGTGGATCACTGAGGCCAGCCTGGTCTACAGAGCAAGCTCCAGGACAGCCAGAGCTACACAGAGAAAAACCTGTCTTGAAAACACAGGGAATTCTACAGAGTGAGTTCCAGGACAGCCAAGGCTACACAGAGAAACCCTGTCTCAAAAAAAAAAAAAAAAAAAAAACACAGGGAAAAACAAATTTATTTATTGGGGGAATCACATGTGACCATCATGGATAACTGATAGGAGGCTTTCTTTCCCTCCACTGTGTCTGGAGACCAAAGAAGACCAAACTCAGGTCATCAAACTTGGCAGTAAGTCCCCACGAATCATCTTACTGGACCATTTCTTTGTTGAGACAAGGTCTCATTGTAGAGTTCAGGCTGGTCCCTTAATGCTGGGATTACGAGGCTATGCCATGGCACTGGGTTGCTTTAAGTGGTAATTGCTTCATCTGTGTAGTTTCCCATACTCAAGTACAAAGCACAATGTCAGGAACAAGGCAGACACATGGATAACAAATGATCAGAACAGTGGTCCTCACTGCCTCCCTCGGATGGCGGCACTGAGTGGCTTTGCCAGAGCTGGAGAGCTTTGCCTTTTCACTGGGCTAACCAGCTCAGCTACTACCCGGTCTTAGATTCAGGGCTCTGAATTGGCCCACCCCAAATCTATATCATCTGTGAACAGCTGGGATGTATGAAAGGGTCAGTCCTGCTGATCCAAAGCTCCAGGATCTCCATGACACAGGACAACAACAGGACAACTGGGAGGAGTCCCAACGAGGATCCAGCATTGATGGTGTCACAGAAGCCAGAGGCCTCCAACCAGACCAGTGACTCATTGCAATGAACATTTGCAAGTGGAGACGTGTGGATGGAGTGATATACTGTGGGACACACCGTGACACAATACAGCTTCCATTTCAAGATGTTTTCTATTCTTTGCATTGCTGTTGTTCGTTTGTGTTTTATTTGGGGGTGCAGGAGCGAAGGACAGATATGAGGGGACGGGGGATGCGTGGGACTGGGTAGCATGGTGTGAAACTCACAAAGAAAATCGATAAAAGTTTTTTAAAAGTTATTTTTTTTTCAGTGATAGAAATAGAGTTTATTAAGAAAAAAAGACACATTTGAGAGAGGGCATGAGCTGGTGACCTAGAAAGGCAGACACTTAAATGTCACTTATTTTATTTATTATAATTTAATTATTGTATTTGTGGTGGAGACAGCTTGTTGGAGATTAGTTTTTCTCTCCACCGTGTTGGGAACGGGGACTGAAACCAGGCTGTCGGGCTTGG